TCGGACGCTTAACCGACTGCGCCACCCAGGCGCCCCCACAAAATAAGATTTTTAACAAGTCCAGGATAAAAATTCAATATGAAACCAAATTTCATTAACAGCAAGTCAAAAATTCATTTAAAAAAGATGACACATACCATGGTGAAAACCAAATTTCAGTAATATCAAATAAGTAAAATGAAAGCTATAGAAAGAGCCAGATGGAAAAATCTGAAACCATTAAGGGTTAATACCCAAAAAGAAATAAATGGAAAGAAAGCACAGAGACAAGATCTCACTGTTACTAAGATACCAACCCTCCCAAGACAGACCTACAGTCTTCGTAATATTCTATTAAACCCACAAGCCCAAGTGTGGTTTTTTGCGGGGGGACTAGACAAAGAGTAATTCTGCAAATCTAACAAGAAGAACAAATGTCCAAGGACAGGCAAAGTGTTCTAAATAACAAGGCAGGGCCTGCCGACACTGGGGATTTTAAGGCAACAGCACTCCGACATGATGGAAGACGGCCGAATCAATGGGAAACGGGTCCAGGCCTACCGGGAAACTCGATTCCCGGCGGGACAGCCCCTGAAGAGCGGAGGCAGAAATGATGAACACTTTAATTCATGAGACAGTGACAGACTGACTTCTAAATAACAAAGATGCTTGCATTCCTACCCCTTCCGTGGACACTAATTTGTTGCACATTACAGCAAAGTGTATCAGCAATAAAAGGAAAGGGTACTGTCACAAACGCTCCACGCGGCCAACTCAACGAGACTGGCCAACCAACCTCACAGACTGGTTCATCCTTCTAATTTACCAACTGACCTACCACGCTTTGCGGAAGGGTATTCGTTCCTCCGCAGCCCACGGGAAGGGAGATGTTCTCCATTCCTCGGACACTCTTTTCCCCAGAAAGCCTTTCCCGGGGAGGCCCGGGATTCCACCTGTCATCACCCAAAGGCACAGACCCGAGAAACTTACTACACACGGGGACGGACTTCCAGAGAACGTTTAACAAATGGAATGTAAGACATTTTCTTGTTTTTCTGAAATCCACTCCTTTGAAAACATTTCATGCTCGCCTTCGCGCTATTAACTAAACGGGTTTGACATCTGCTAAAACACCGAGGTTCCGGTAAGTGAATACATCTTCTCGGGG